TTTTCTCATTAAGATGGTGTTGCTGCGAACGAAAAAGTTGGTAATATGATGGTACCATATCTGAAGAATGTGGTGGATGGGGGAGAACTTTCCAACCCAACTCCATAATCTTGTGCTGCGTCAAACGTGCCACATGTGGACGTGCATTGTCGTGAAGAAGAACATCTTTCCGATTGACGTTTCTGATGAAGGGCTTGATTTAAACGTTCCAGTTGCTGCCTGTATATCTCTGCATTGACAGTTCGCTGTGGATTGAGGAGTTCGAAGTGAATTACTCCTTTGATGCGGATGGAGTCCAGGTTTTGGGTTTGGAAGTAGTTTTTGTCTAGGACCGAGCCATTGTTTTTGGCGTTTAATATTCGCATAGAGAACCCATTTTTCATCACAGGTGACAATTATATCCAAAAACAGTTCACGCGCATTACGCATCAGAAAAGACGAAGCAACATTTACACGTTGGAAACGATGATCATCAGAGAGTTCATGAAGCACCCAAACACCTTCTTTATGGAGTTTTCTCACATTTCTTAGATATTTACGTATTGTTTCATGAGAGGCATGCAATTTCGGGGCCATTTCACGAGTGTGTTGCCTTGGGTTAGATTCAACAAGCATCTTTAGAGCATCAATATCAATTTCAACATGTCGGCCCCTGCCATCACATTTTTAAGGCTAAAATCACCTGAACGAAATTTGCTGAACCATCGTCGACACTTACGAACGTTCAAATATTGCCACAACCATCTTTGATATTTTTTGTGGCTACAGAGGCGTTGTTTCCCTTCTTGTATTCAATCAGCATTACATGCCGAATGTGTGTCTCGTCGTGTGCCATCAATATAAGGGATTAGAGGAAATTAAACTTTACACATTATATTGGCTTCACTAACGTGAATTTAGGCGGTTCGTTTAACTATTGTACGTGGTGTACGTTTTTTGGGGGTGGTTAATGAAAGTATTCCAAAACGCGACATTAATTTCTTGACGACCTAATACATGGTCAGTTCTATGTTGGGTGTTGAAGTATCACCAAGAAAACTATTATGGCACAGGAAGGAGGAATAACTTCTAACATGGTCCATCAAGAAGCAATTAGAGTATCAAAAAAACATTGATGCTGTAGAGAGGGAGTAGTAAATAAAGTAACTTTAACACTATTTTCGTAAAGTGGAATAAAGTAGGTGTAAAATAAAGTACTTTTAAAGTAAATTATGTGTAAGCGAAGACACTAAATAAAAGCCCATAATAAATCGGATATATAGGAAGCGCGATGAAAAAATTCGCAGTGGGTCCCAACATTGTGCACTACTCTGGTGTATACCAGCCAGATTGTCAGGCAGAATCTTGAATAGTGACATGAAACAAAATCGTGCCAACTCACGCGCGAGAACGTGAGTTTGTTCAAAACGTTATTACAGGCATAGCTTCGTCTAATATTCACCAGAAAACTCAACCTGACTGTTTGGACTACAATTATAGTAAAATCTTTTCATCATATTTATCAGAATTCGTTGTTAGTATTAACAGTTGATTCCAGTTGTAGCTTTACATAGGGTTTTCAATAAACAACTTCAGCTGTCCTAGCTATGTATATATCGAGCTTCGCACGGACTGTTCCACAGCAATTCAGCAAAAACCCTGTTAGATAGATTGAGATATTATTGTGAGGCATTTGATCAACACCAAATATCACTCGATAGCTTGAAAAGTATCACAGGTCCCTTCATTGGACAGTCTACGTACTAAACCACCATCCCAATTGCTGGTCAAGCATTTAATCTCAGTAATAATGATTAGGAGGCTGTCGTTAGCATCTTGGCTGGTCATAAGAGCAGACAGACTGATCCTCCACTGACATTTCCTCATCAGATTCGTACTACCAGTGTCTTATTCCTCAAAAGCTGAGACAAGATCATATACCACGGTACTCTCATTATTACAGTCAACCTCCTCTGATTACGGGACCATACAGTTATCTACAGGTTGGTTACTGACACAATGTTTAAGCATTTTGACGCGAAGGATGTCACTTTTCCCAGTAACTAGTACTGTCATTTATTCCTGCTCAGAGTGATAGTGAAAATACTTTATCCACCAAAAGTGTAAGATTGCTTCTCGAACCTCAAGGGACATTACAAGTTTTAATTTTAAATGTAAAAGACAAAATTCAAGTTATCAAGAGTTCCAATGTAGGTTATGAATATACTTGTCCTTATTATGAGGCAGTATATATTACCTCAACTAAAACACTGCGTAGACTCACTGTCAAGTAGCACAGTAAGAGAAACGTAATATATAAGTACTCTGTAATACTATAAGTTCATTTATAATGTAAATACAAAACTCTCGTTGCATACCAAAGAAACCTTCCACATCAAATACATGCTAAAATGTAAACTACTTTTCACTTCCAATGTTTTTATGTAAATGTTTTGTTTAGGACATGCTTGTGAAACATCATGGAATTATCACCATAATACAGTAGGTACGTTTCGTTTGTTTGCAGTCCTGTTCCATACAGTTT